GAGAGATGGAGCGAGAGAGAGAGTGAAAGAGCGAGAAAGAAGGAGAGACAGAGAGAGAGAGAGAGAGAGAAGAGAGAGAGAGAGAGAGAGAGAGACAGAGAGAGGGGGAGCGAGAGAGACGTAGATCGGCATTGTGCCCAGAATGCGAGCTTCCAAAAAACATGGGTTGCACGTGGGAACGGGTCGTTGAAGAGTTAAGGATGGAAACAAAGTTTAGGGGTGGTGTCATCATGAAAAGGGTATTGGGTCACGTGGGGAGAAACCGGTTGGAGGAGGGTCGTTCATGAGATAAGAGGGAATTTTGGAGCTCGAAGTTTAGGGATGGAATCATTGAGTAGGTTGAGTAGGACACTAGATGTTTGGTGATGGTCGTGGTGGTGGTGGTGGGGTGGGGTGGGGTGGGGGGGGGGTCCTAGAATGATATAAACGCCATAGGCTCGTTAGAAGTTTGTGAAGGGCCATGGAGCACTAGAACTAAATATCTGTGGAATATTGGGCCGCTAGAAGTATGGAGGAGATAGGGGCTTTACACCCTTATTGAGTGTCTGGGGTGGTCAACGTAGAATGGTGATAGCTGGTCACTATAAAGGTGTCGAGAGTGGGTTAATCACTATGGAAAATGTGGTACCCTGGAATAGAGCGTAAACTGGTGTAACCTTACTGTGGGAAAAATGAGGCAGTTCGTTATTTATATTATCACGAGGGTTGCGTGTGTGTTATTGTTCAGAGAAATCGTCTGGTACAATGCAGAATTCGGTTTGCTCATGTGCACGTGTGTGAGATTCTAAGCTATGCAAGATGAAAAATCGTATGACACACGCACTGAGTGTGCTCGCATTCTAGGACCAGAGCTGATCATACGTGCGTACCCCAAGCTACGCTTTGAGGTTTGTTGCACGTGATGGCAAACGCTTGTGCTATGATATTTGCCGTGTGTGCGTGCAATTAGCGAGTTCACAGGCACTTGAAGCGTTTCAACTGTAAACACACGCCGCCGCCATTGCGCGCACACTGACACATAAATATAATATATGAATATATAATATATTGAAACGCTTCAAGTGCCTGTGAGCGAGTTGCTCTCTCATAACCAACATGCTTGTGTGAAATGGTGGCGGTGTGCAGTAACATGCTTGGGAAGCGGATCCTTTTGTGTTGCGTGTTTAGACGTTGAATGTAAGTGAAGTTATCTTAAGCCCGGCGCATAAGTGAGTAATTTTACTCAAGTAAAATGATGCATGCGTCAAAATACTCACGCGAAATATTTCCAGCATCTGCCGCACACGTGAGTAAAATTACTCAAGGTATAAGTGGTAATGTAGATCACGTGACTGTGCTCAGCCAATACTGGGTGCAGTCATCTTTAAAATGATTTAAACGCATGCGCTATGAGTACCAGTGTTGAGTAAATTTACGCAGCTAGCGCGCACACGTTGAGTATTTTGACGCATCAGTCAAAAATTATCAAACATGTTTGATATTGAGTTTCTTGATGCATGCGTCAGAAAACTCAACGAAAATCCGGCGCACACGTGAATATTTTGACGCATGAGTCAAAAATTATCAAACATGTTTGATATTGAGTTTCTTGATGCATGCGTCAGAAAACTCAACGAAAATCTGGCGCACACGTGAGTATTTTGACGCATGTATCATTTTACTTGAGTAAAATTACTCACGTGTGCGCCGGGCTTTAGATAGCATGTGCGGTTTCATTACTGGTGGAACGTGAACGTATCTCCGCATAGACTGTCACAGTCAGTTCCAGTAGTAATTATGCAGGAACGTATCTTGGGCGCTAAAAGTGAGCCATTATTGTTACTGTTTTTGTCAATTGTCTGAGCATTTCAAATTCGTTCATATTGCATTACAAATTATACGATACTCTGGTATAAGAGCCAGGCTATCGAAACAGCTCTGTGCGTCTGTAAAGCTCACGATAGCATGTGGTTTGACGTGACCAGGAGTGCATAAAAAATAAATTTTTATTATCTTCATTCACTCTTAACATAACGTAACAATCGGGTTATTAGAGTCTTAACTATATAGGTTGGATCGAGAGATCCCACAATACTAAATGTTCTGGCTATAAAGCTATAATAGTACCAGGAGTGAATACTAATAGATCTATTATTATTCACTCCGAATAGTACGGTCAATCCTGTGTTTGCAGCCACTTATACAGAATGGCTACTTAGCCATAAAGGGCGCGTTTGGCGTTTTGCTTGAGTGGCAGTTATATAGTGAGGCCACCTTAGAACAGCCACCTGACCATAAAGGCTGTTATGCTTTTCTATTGGGTGGCCGTTGCGTACAGGGTTGATCGTCTACTGTCGTGTAGCATTATAGGTTCTTGGTGGAATCTATTTAGTGCCGGATGCCTGCTTGCTAGTAGCATTGTGTATGAGTCTAATCATAGTATCTGATGACCTTGGAAACCTATATCAATATTCCAGGAAGGTTGTCTGACGAAATTGTATAATTATAGTTGAATAATCACGTTTCTGATGTAATACAACGTAGTTGCACATGCTAGATTAACACGTGCAAATGTTACGCGTGACCGGTACACTTATCTAATGCCGCGTAGGCCTAGTTCGTGCGCGCGCGTGTGGTCATTACAATGTGCATTGTGCAATGTGCATCACAGACTTTTTATTTGTAGTCGGTGAATCACATTTTCACAGCATATTACTGCGGATAGCATTCACTATATTGTTGTGCGTAGGATGCCTCGTGCGCAGGCAGGCAATGAAATACAATACATACAATGCAATCCAGCATCTCTTTAGGAAAACGACCCAATTCCTATTCACTTTGCTGTGAAAGTGCGTTATGGATAGCATTGTCGGCATTATAACTTGTCTCACCATCCGGCTCAGGGAAATAATATTCAGGCTACATTGCATAGAATATTCCTATGGCCAACGCCATGTATGGGCTATTCTTTTTTCTTCTGTCGAGTGCGGTACCGTCATATTGCCATATATGTTCACTGTTTAATGAGGTGACATTGTAAACCATAATCTCCTAATATAGCGATGGAGATACCAATTCGACCGATTCAACTATTTGACCGAAAGTTGGCAGTGTAGACGTAAAAGTTGAGCGCTCAACTAGTTGAGAGATTAGAACATGTTATAATTTTGCAATTTTTGGTCAGCGAGTTGATCAACTGTTTGCTATGCAGCCACTCAGATAATAGCAATCAGGAGGTGTGTCCCTCCACCCAGGAGGAGATTATTTGCGCGCGCGTTTTTGCTATCGGCGGCACACAGGCTACACCTGACGCGAATTAATACATGCAAAAATGCGTATCCACGTCGCCCCGCGCGCACACAGCGTGTGAAATGTTGAAACGTTTGCCGACTCGCGGTCGATAATGTAAATACTTTAAACATCTGATAGAAAGGTTGATAGAATGTTGAAAAGTTGATGAGCTCCTCGCCTCATGACTATGGCAGGAAATCCTGAAACAATAAAAGCTTGCTTTCCTTAAAGTAGCAAAAGCTAATAATACATTTATATATATAATGTAATTTAGCTCCTGAAAATATGTAATTTAACTCAGTACATAATTATGTTGAGGAACTCTGCTTAGCATTGTCGTAGTCGTAATTGTTACCATATCATTATCGTAAATTAACCCCGCTAATTGGTTTAGACCTTTTACGGATAACCCCGTTTATCGGTAGCTGTTGCATTTCGTTGGTTTGTACCTAATGTTTGTGCAGTGCATATCAATATAATTAACTGACTAATCGCATGGAAAGGTCGTGTTATCATATCAGGAGTAAGATAATATAGGTCCTATAGATATAGATCCTATATATCGGATATAGCGGATATCGGATATATCGATACATCGGATATAGATCCTATATTATCTTACTCCTGATCATATCATGTCAGTAATCTATCCGTAATGAGATTTCATGTATTATTTGTGTAGAATATTGTCATTGCGTTTGCAGCTAGTCGTTTTCCACTAGTTGCTATCGCGATTATGTAAACGTATTTTTTCAGCATTGTGTTGTAACTGAACAACTTGTTATGCGTAACATTACGCATAAAAAATACGCCGAATTGGTATATATATATATATATATATCACATATATGCGTTAGATATTGCAGTTATACCAGCTATAGTCTATACTACACATTACAGTAATATGGTATTGTACTTTGTATAGCACGCGGTTGTGAGGGGCATAGCACTGCACCATCTCAGCTGCTTCTGGGCAGGTGTCTCATATATGTGATGTGGCTGTTTGCTTAAAACTCTGCTTTTGCTGATATCTCAGCTGTCACCTAACTGTGGCTGGTTGTGTTCTCAGTAGAGTCAATCAATCTAAGTATCTGATGACACTCTCTGATACTCTTCAAATGCCAATACCTTAGCTGTTCCCTAACTATGCACCACCCTATGCCTGGTTGTTTTCTTGCTATCGGTCAAGCCATGTACCGGAGAACGCTCGATACGCATCTATATGTGCAGATCCAGCCCAACTCTGTCGCTTTCTTACCTTTTTGCTTACCAGTAAATACTTCACCCTCAGTGAGAGCGAATGAAGCCATGTCTCAGATTCCCAAACGGCACTGCGTGCTGGCCTATTCCCCATTGACCCGCTTCTAGCTGAATGCTCAGTGCAGTTGTCTCGTAACATCTGCATCAGTGAGTAGATCCTTGCAGCATGCTCGTTGCTACAGATCTGTGATGGCATGATCGTTTTCCTTGTTTGCTTATATACATTTACTTTGGATGCTGGCCGGAAATAGTAGGATTTTTGAGGTTCCAATAGAGGATGCAGGTGGCAAAAGTTTAAGCGATTTCACTTGCCCTGTAGGGCACGTTGCAGGGCAGTGAAGGGCCATGCTTGTTGAGAGAAAACGTCACGAGATGTAACAGAGCTTAGCTTTTTGGTGCTGTCATGCCGATCTAGCTCTACCCGTGTAGCTCTTCGCTCCCTCTACAGGAGCCCCCCATATATGCGGAGAGAAGGGATACACGGGTAGAGCTACTATGCGGCACGTCAGTGAAGCCAAACATTTGCTTCATTCCCTCAGTCTTCCTGCTAGTCAGTAACCCAGTACAGACGTGTACCGTAGTGGCTGCGTTATTCTCTACGTCCGTATCTCTTTTCTTGCTGTTTCATGCAGTCCACCGGCGTACTGGGTCTCTCTCCAGTTGCCGGAAGAACGCAGGTGAGTGAGGCTTGGGACGTTGTTATCTTGACACCCGTCCAGAGGCAGTGGGATGTGGAATCGCCATGTGTAACCGTGGCGATTTCATGACGTGTATCTGCGTACGAAACAACACCGGCTACATGCGACGACGCATGCTTTCGTTTCTCGCGAAACTTCCGAAACCTTTTTTCACATCGATGCTGTTTCCTGGTAGCATCCGCCCCCTACCAGGGTGGATGGGGGTGGGTCACATAGATAACGAAGAGAGAGAAGGCGGGGATCCGATGCGTACAATACGATACGGTATGGCGTGGCAGGGATCGATAAAATGTAGCGAAGAGGCCCGACAGGGTTCAGCAGGTAGCGAGGTGTCCCGGCGGGGGTACCACGTGTAGCGAGGAGACCCGGCGGGGGTTACCCATGTATAGCGAGGAGACCCGGCGGGGGTTACCACGTGTAGCGAGGAGACCCGGCGGTGGGTACCCACGTAGCGAGGAGACCCGGCGGGGGGTACCCACGTAGCGAGGAGACCCGGCGGGGGTACCCACGTAGTGAGGAGACCCGGCGGGGGGTACCCACGTAGCGAGGAGTCCCGGCGGGGGTACCACGTGTAGCGAGGAGACCCGGCGGTGGGTACCCACGTAGTGAGGAGACCCGGCGGGGTACCTACCGTGTAGCGAAGGAGAGCCCGGCGGTGGGTACCAACTGTAGCGAGTGTCCCGGCGGGGGTACCGAACGTGTAGCGTAGGGAGACCCGGCTGAGTTCCCGCACGTAGCGAGGCAGTCCTGGACGGTGGTTTACCAACGTGTAGCGAGGAGAACCAGCGCGGCGCGTACCCACGTTAGCGAGGAGACAGCCGGCAGAGCGGGTGACCCACGTAGCGACGACCCGGCGGGGGTACCCCGTAAGCGAGGAAGACCTGGCGGTGGGTACCCACGTAAGCGATGAGTACGCGCGGGCGTGTTACCACGTCTAGCGATGGAGACCCAGCGGGGGTTTACGCCACCTGTAGTCGATGGAGACCCCGCGGGGGTACCACGTTGTGCGAGGCAGACCCGGCGGTGGGGTACGCCACGTAGTCGACGAGGATCCGCGGCGGGGGTTACGCACCGTTAGCGAGGATGACCCGGTCGGGGGTACCCCACGTAGCGAGGAGACAGCGGCGGTGGGTACACCTCACGTCTAGCGAGAAGACCCGGCGGGGGTATAACCGCAACGTAAGCGAGGAGACAGCACGGCGGTGTACCCACTGTACGAGGAGTCCTGCAGGCGGGGGTACCCACGTCTAGCGAGAGAGCCCCGTCGGGGTACTCCACGTATGCGAGGAAACTACCGGCGGGTGTACCGCCACGTATGCAAAGGAAGACCCGGGTGGGGGGTTGACCCACGTAGCGGAGGAAGTACCCGCGGGGGTAAGTACACCACGTAAGCGAGGAGTCGCGCGGCGGGGTTCCTCCCACCGGTAGCGAGGAGAAGCGGCGGTGTGTACAAACGTAGGCGAGGATCCCGGCGAGGGTTACCAACGTGGTAGCGAGGTTAGAACCAGCGGCGTACCCGACGTAAGCGAGGAAAAAGCGGCGGTGGTTAACCCCACGTAAGCGAGGAGAGACCCCACGGTGGTAATCCCACGTAGCGAGGAGACCCAGTCAGGTGTACGCCCACGGTAGCGAGAGTTCCAGCAGGGGTTGTTACCCCACGGTAGCGAGTAACCCAGCGGTGTAACCCAACAGTAGCGAGGAGTCCCAGCAGGGGTTTACGCACGTACAGCCCGATGAGAAGCGGTGGTGGTACTCACGTAGCGAGGAGTCCCGGTGGGAGTACCACGTAGTGAGCGACGTCCCGGTGGGTTGTACCTCCACGTAGCGCGAGGATGACCGCAGCGGGTACCCACGTAGCGAGGATAGACCCAGCGGGCTGGTACCACGTCTAAGCGAGGAGACACGCGGGGAGTTACCCAGTAGTGTAGCGAGGCAGACCCGGCTGAGGTACGCCACGTAGGCCGAGGAGTCCCCGGGGGGGGTTACCAGCCTGTATGCGAGGAGACCCGGCCGGGGTTAAGCGCACCGTGTTGCGAGGTAGACCCGGCGGTGGTGATTGGAACGATGACGCTACAGCTGTCAGCTGTTGTTCATGGTTGTTCATTGTTGTCATTGTTGTTCTTCTCTACAGCGACCCGTCCAGTCAGTCTGTTCAGTACGATAGGTGATCAGTGGGTCGTGTCGAGCGCGCCCGACGATCTTCTTGTGCTGGAGAGAGAACCTGATGGGAGTGCATTCCAATGAGAGCGAGAGGGGGGGGGAGAACAAGGAGAGGTGAGAGAGAGTGGAGAGAGAGAAAGAGAGAGAGAGGACTGTAGAGAGAATAAAGTGAGAGTGAGGAGAGAGAGAGAGAGAAGAGAGAGAGAAGAGAGAGGAGAGAGGAGAGAGGAGATGAGAGAGAGAACTGTAGTTACTTGTTAGTAGTCGCTGTAGAATAAGTGAGAGAGGGGGGGTGAGTAGAGAAAGAGAGAGAAGAGATCGAGCGAGAAGAGACTTGAGAGAGAGAGAGGATAGCCCATGGTGAGGCATCATGAGAGGGAGACAGGGGGAGAAAAACGAGAGAGAGGGAGAAGACGTGAAGAGAATTAAGAGAGAGAGAATGAGAGAGAAGCCCAATGGTGAGTGGATTCATGAGAGCGAGATGGGGCAGAAAAAACGAGAGAGAGAGAGAGAGAAACTGGAGGAGAGCCTGAGAGAGGGGACTGAGAGAATAAGAGAGAGTGCAGTGAGAGAAAAGAGAAACTGTAGTTACTGTTAGGTAGTCGCATGAGTCTTTGTTTTTAGCTTTGTTACTGCTCCTATTTCCATGACATATGTAAGCAAGAACCGTCTCTATGGTAGGCAATAGAACTCTGTGGTTTTGCTACGTTACAAAACCGAGTGAGGAAACCGAGAGAAATTAGAGAGCAAAAAAATGAAAAACAAAAACCAAGAAATTCTATGAAGGGGAATAGTCAACTGGGTTAGTTTGTCATAATGCTATATAATATAATAATATATATAATATATATATATATATAGATATCTATATTATAGAGCGTTGTAACATATGTATGTTCGACTTGGCTAAAATGTCGTCAATGGAACGTTGCAGGCAATTGACCCAGAAGCTGGAGGCCGTGGCGATCCACGGCCGCTGAGGACCCTGCACACCTCACTGTCGCTGAAGGCAGGTTCTGACGTCTTCCGTCGAGCGGATGGTGAAGCTCTGCGGACAATGCGCAGAGCAGCGCGATCCCACCTACACGGAGCTGCCTGATCAACACACCCCGCGTGCCGCCCGTCTCTCACCCACAGTCTGTCATGTAAGTACTTTCTCTCTTCTATTCGCTGCTCCCCGTCTCCACTCGGCCCACAGGTCCTGTCATAGTAAGCTACTTCTCTCTCTATGCCCTTGGCTTTCTCGTCTCCTCTCCACACGTCTGTCATGTAAGTACTTCTCTTCTCTAATTGCTGCTCTCCCGTCTCTCTCCACAGGTCTGTCAGTAAGTAACTCTCTCTCTATTTGCTGCCCCTCGTCTCCTCTCCACAGCTGTCAATGTAATGTACTTTGTCTCTCTATTGCGCTCAATCCGCGTGCCTCCTCCACAGGTCTGTCTATGTAAGTACTTCCTCTCTATTGCTGCTCTCCCGTCTCTCTCGCCACGGTCTGTCATGTAAGACTTTCTCTCCTCTAATTGCTGCTCTCTCGGTCTCCTCTCCCACAGCTGTCATGTAGAGTACTTCCCTCCTATTGCTGACTCCCGTCTCCTCTCCACCAGGTCTGTCATGTAAGTACTTCTCTTCTCATTGCGCTCTCTACCGTCTGGCCTCTCCCACAGTCTGTCATGTAAGTACTTCTGGCTCTCCTATTGCTGCTCTCTCGTCTCCTCTCCCACCAGGTTCTCATGTAAGTCACTTCTCTCTTATTGCCTGCTCTCTCGTCCTCCTCTTCCACAGGTCTGTCATGTAAGTATTCTCTCTCTTAAGTTTGGCTGCGTGCCGTCCTCCTCTCCCCACAGTCTTGTCATGTAAGTACTTCTCTCTCTATTGCGCTCTCCCGGGCTCCCTCCACAGTCTGTCAGTAAGTACTTCTCCTCTATGCGCTCTCGCCGCTCCCTCTCCGCACAGGTCTGTCATAGTAATACTTCTTCTCTCTATTGCTGCTCTCCCGTCTCCTCTCCCACAGTCTGTCATGTAGACTTCTCTCTCATTGCTGCTCTCTCGCTCCTCTCTCACAGGTTTCATGAAGTACTTCTCTCTCATATTGCGCCTCCTTCGTCTCTCTCCCCCCAGGTCTGTCATGTAAGTACTGTCTCTCTCTATTGCGCTCTCGATCCCGTCTGTCCTCTCCCACAGGTCTCTCATGTAAGTACTCTCTCTCGTATGCTGCTCTCCCGTCTCCTCTCCACAGTCTTGTCATGTAAGTACTTCTCTTCTCTATTGCTGCTCCTCCCGCGGATGCGCGTCTTCTCTCCCACAGGTCTGTCATGTAAGTACTCTCTCTCGATTGGTGCCCGTCGTCTCCCTCCCACAGGTCTGTCATTAAGTACTAGTCTCTCTCTACTCCTGCTCTACGTCCTCCTCTCCAACTAGGTCTGTCATGTAAGTACTTTCCTCTCTCATGCTAGCTCTCTCGTCTCCAATCTCCCGACAGGTACTGTCAGTAAGTGACTTGCTCTCTCTATTGCTGCTCTCCACCGCCGTCTCCTCTCCCACAGGTCTGTCATGTTAAGTACTTCTCATCTCTGATTGCTGCTCTCTACGCCCTCTCCCACAGAGTCTGTCATGTAAGTACTGACTTCTCTCTCTATTGCGCTACTCCGTCTCGCCTCCCCACCAGGTCTGTCGCATGTAAGTACTTCTCTCTGCTATTGCTGCTCTACGTCTCCTCCCCACAGTTCTGTCATGTAAGTCTATCTCTCTCTATGTGCTCCCCGTCTCTCCCACAGTTCCTGTTCATGTAAGACTTCTCTCTCTAATGCTGCTCTCTCGTCTCCTCCCCAAACAGGTCTGTCATGTAAGTACTTCTCTCTCTATTGCGCTCTTCCGTCTCCTCTCTCCACACGGTCTAGTCATGTGAAGTACTTCCTCTCTATTTCTGCCTCTCGTCCTCCTCTCTCTCTAGGTCGTCACTGGTAATACTGTCTCCTCTATTGGCTGCTCTCTTCGCTGCCTCTCTTCACAGGGTCTGTTCCATGTAAGTACTTCTCTCTCTATTTGCGCTCTCTCGTCTGCCTCTCCACAGGTCTGTGCAGTAGTACTTCTCGGTCCTATTGCTGCCTCCGTCTCGCTCTCGCCACAGTCTGTCAAATGAATACTTCTCTCTCGTATTGCTGCTCTCCCCCTCCCCTCTCCCCAAGAGGTCTGTCAGTGTAAGTACTTCTCTCTCTATTGCTGGCTCTTCCTCGTCTCCTGTCTCCACACGGTGTGTCATGTAAGTACTTCTCTCGTCTATTGCTGCCTGCTCGTCTGCTCTCCGTGCTCGCCAACAGGTCTGTCATGTAAGTACTTCTCTCTCTATTGTTGCTCTCTCGTCTCCTCTCCCACAGGTCTGTCATGTAAGTACTTCTCTCTCTATTGCTGCTCTCTCGTCTCCTCTCTCACAGGTCTGTCATGTAAGTACTTCTCTCTCTATTGTTGCTCTCTCGTCTCCTCTCCCACAGGTCTGTCATGTAAGTACTTCTCTTTCGGTCGGTGCTCTCTCGTCTCCTCTCCCATAGGGCTGTCATGTAAGTACTTCTCTCTCTATTGTTGCTCTCTCGTCTCCTCTCCCACAGGTCTGTCATGTAAGTACTTCTCTTTCGGTCGCTGCTCTCCCGTCTCCTCTCCCACAGGTCTGTCGTGTAAGTACTTCTCTTTCTATTGCTGCTCTCTCGTGTCCTCTTCCGCAGGGCTGTCATGTAAGTACTTCTCTTTCGGTCGGTGCTCTATCATCTACTCTCACATTGGTCTGTCGTGTACGTATCTCTCTCTCTCTCTTTCTCTCTCTCTCTCTCTCTTTCTCTCTATCTCTATCTCTCTCTCTCTCTCCCTAACGCTGCTCTCTCATCTGCTCCCACGTGGCTGTCATGTAAGTACCTCTGTCTCTCTATTGCTGCTCTCCCATTTCCTCTCCCACAGTTTTGTCGTAAGTCAGTAGGACTTTTCCTCCCCAGGCATCATTATTATTTGTATTATTATTATTGTTATTATTATTCATGCTCTGTCTATAGTAGTAACCAATGTTTCTTTCCTGCTGCACAGGCGTGTCTAGTGGCATGACCAGTGGCATGTCCAGTACCGGAGCCACGAGTCCCGGACCACATGGACACAGTGTCAACCCCTACGTGTTCATGGACAAGCTCGCAAAGATCATTGGTGTTGACACCCCACATTCTTCGTGATTAACGTGGATACCTGTCACTATAGCAATGACCCTAACCATAGCTGTCACTATGGCATTGACCCTAACCATAGCTGTCACTATGGCAATGACCCTAACCATAGCTGTCACTATGGCAATGACCATAACCATAGTTGTTAGCCTGTCATTATGGCAATGACCCTAATCGTAGCTGTCACTATGGCAATGACCCTAACCATAGCTGTCACTATGGCAATGACCCTAACCATAGCTGTCACTATGGCAATGACCCTAACCATAGCTGTCACTATGGCAATGACCCTAATCATAACTGTCACTATGGCATTGACCCTAACCATAGCTGTCACTATTGAAATGACACTACAGATAGCTGTCACTATTGAAATGACACTACAGATAGCTGTCACTATTGTAATGACACTACAGATAGCTGTCACTATTGAAATGACACTACAGATAGCTGTCACTATTGAAATGACACTACAGATAGCTGTCACTATTGTAATGACACTACAGATAGCTGTCACTATTGAAATGACCCTAATCATAACTGTCACTATGGCAATGACCCTAACCATAGCTGTCACTATTGTAATGACACTACAGATAGCTGTCACTATTGAAATGACCCTAAAGATAGCTGTCACTATTGTAATGACACTACAGATAGCTGTCACTATTGTAATGACACTACAGATAGCTGTCACTATTGTAATGACACTACAGATAGCTGTCACTATGGAAATGACCTTGAACATAGCTGTCACTATGGCAATGACCACAACCATAGCTGTCACTATGGCAATGACCCTAACCATAGCTGTCACTATGGCAATGACCCTAACTATAGATGTCACTATGGCAATGACCCTAATCATAGCTGTCACTATTGAAATGACCCTAACCATAGCTGTCAATATTGAAATGACACTACAGATAGCTGTCACTATTGAAATGACACTACAGATAGCTGTCACTATTGAAATGACACTACAGATAGCTGTCACTATTGTAATGACACTACAGATAGCTGTCACTATTGTAATGACACTACAGATAGCTGTCACTATTGTAATGACACTACAGATAGCTGTCACTATTGTAATGACACTACAGATAGCTGTCACTATGGAAATGACCTTGACCATAGCTGTCACTATGGCAATGACCCTAACCATAGCTGTCACTATGGCACTGACCCTAACCATAGCTGTCACTATGGCAATGACCCTAACCATAGATGTCACTATGGCAATTACCTTAATCATAGCTGTCACTATTGAAATGACCCTAACCATAGCTGTCACTATTGAAATGACACTACAGATAGCTGTCACTATTGAAACGACCCTACAGATAGCTGTCACAAGAGATCACGTTAAACGTAGCTACTGTTAGTATAGTGTCTACCGCATAGGTATTTGTCATTTATCGTCAGCCATGAATATCTACTGTAGCATTATAGTTCGACCAATGCACAGACTGACCGCTAGAATTTAGTGACGATGTTGTTGTTGTTGTTGTTGTTGTGAAACGTTGAATCAACACACAGAGAGACTAACGAGTCTAATGCGCTCACTATGTCACTATTGCATGACCTAAGCTTTAGTGTTAGGAGACACGGGTCAGTTAGTCAGATACATATACGGTAACTCTACGATATATATGATTAGTGACCATTATTTTCATGTGCGAAAGGTTATGTCTAAAACCAATATCACGTACTAAAATGTTTTTGACAACGACACCCTGAATCGTTATTATTATCAGGATGAATGTGTAATTTGTTTTAATTCGCTCCTTTTATCGTTCAAGCCATGTGATAAAGCTTCGTGGCGTGGTAGGGAGTGAGAGACCATGGATGAGGATGAAATTTTAATCTGTTGCTGATTTCACAATTTATGTTAGTGTCAAATGCGTTCATGTGAAGAGTGTACTACTGGTGTACTGCGAAAGGTCTTCAGCATCTTCAGCGATGGCCTTGTAGATGTAAAAGTATATTTCTAAATTTGCATAACCCATTTTTGTCTGCTACTTGTAATTATATGAATTGTATTATGTTTATTGGGCAGCTGATCTTCGCAAAATTAGCTATCAGTTTTCCAGGTGGCATTGAATGAAATCGACCTTGTGCCAAGTAATGCTTTGATAGTGTTTTGTTTTGCTCCAATTTACTGCAATTAATTCAAGTGTTAACTAATGTAAATGTGTATATTACACTACATCGTTATAGACAAGTGCAGATACTATGCTGTATTTTACTGAATATTGACCACTGTATGTCAATTTGTTATTTCGTGAAGTTAAAAAATACATGCTTTGATAAAGCAATTGGATTTGTATCATGTTTTTGTGTGGAGATAATGTGTATCATGTCAGCAGGATCGTCAAGTGCTATTGATTCGATGCTTAGCTGTAGATCCAGGAAACAGGTCACAATACGCACCCACCCACCCACGCACGCACGCACCCACCCACCCACGCACGCACGCACGCATAAGATACGTAAGCACAAGGAGCTCAATCCGGCCTTTCCTCGATACGTGTTTTTGTGTGTGCGTGTGGAGGGGGGGGGGGAGATTGACATCTGAGGTAGGGCACGTCGTACTTCGTCCGTCGTACGTCGTTCGTCACGAAATCACTCGCAGTAGTTGATTTCGTAACTAAATGACTTTGTAGACTTGATTTCGTTACGAAATCAATGATTTCGTAACGAAATCAGTCATGCGACACTTGGCGCCCCATATATTTCAGCCGAATCTTTTTCATCCCCCGCGGCACAAAATGTAAATTTACGCCTATAATACACGCGTACACACGCCCACAAAGACTAACACATCCAGTAACTATAGAGCACTTAGAGAGCGCAGACCTCCGCCAAGGCAGCTGAATTCTCTCACTGTGGAAACGCGTATTATAGTCGTATAATCATATTGTGTGCTTGTGCGTTGTGCTTTGGGAGGGGGGGGGGCATGAAAAAGTTGACGCTGAAAACCAGCCATTTGCCTGGCTAACTTTTCACCGCGCTAACGAGGTCGTAGCCTCATAGGCGATACCATTTGGGAGAGAGGGATCACTTATTATCGCGAGAATATAACCTCATAAGATATAGATTAAAGTACAATATAAATAGATAGAAATATCAGATATAGATAGATAGAAATAGATAGAATATCAGATATATTGAATGAAAAGGTATTAATTATTGGTATTTTCTTGGTTTTTCGTGATGATTGATTCTATATGGTACATTATTACTGCTATAGGTATTCAGTACATGGTTCCCACAAAAGTGTGCATTATTTTTTCAAAGACTTGGACCTATTTCCAAGGACTTTCAATGGCTGTGGGGACCCTGTTAAATATGTAATGGTATAAATAATGCATAAAATGTGTTTTGTTAAGTGCGTGACCAAAATAACAGTTTTACTTTTCCTTGACCCACTAAGAATGCCTACACCGTGCATAATCGACATTTTGTCATGAAAATTGATTAAGTACTACCAATGCATTTTCTTTGTTACGAGTTAGTATATCGTGGGGCTGTGCTAGCTGATTAAAGATATAAAGTGTAAAACAACGACAATATTTCTTCTTGGTAAATATCACATATATTCGTGAATCGAATACATTACGGAGATTAACACTGGCATACCTTGGACACTGGGTGCTTTTGCAGGAACTATTCTTAGGGGATTGTGGAAATGATCGCGCTGCTTCTGCAAACCCCTCTCTCCTCCACCACCAAGTATACACAACATGGACAACATCTCACGACAGTACATACACACATAATCATAATTAATTATAGCCAGAAGATATCTAGCTACATAGCTTGATTTTTTAAATATTAGATTACAAGTTTAACACATATACCTATATAATACAACATGTACGTGTGCGCGCAGGCGTGCTGATTCCTCTACAAGCAACAATAAAATGTGCTAAATAAAATCATATAATGCATTCATACAGCAAAATATTAGAAGTCCTACATGATAGAGATATCTAATCAATATCTCTACTTCCTGATGAGGCGCGGACAAGACTTGAACATGTTTGACCGTCACAGGTATTTTGGTCTAACGAGTCACGTGAGCTTCACAATCTTTGGCCAAACTTCTGGTACTTTTACCAGAATACAGGATCGAATTATGGCTAAATTCCCCCCCCCCAAAAAAAAACAATATCTGACTGACTGAATGTACGGTCTAATTTATTCCAGAATAAACTTAATTTAAGCAAATTTTGATTCACCGGGGAGAACTACAAACATAGAAAGGCGTCGCACGTTTTTCAACATATTATAATCACTAATATTTCACAGGGCAAACGTATTGTATGTGCCACGTTTATAAGGTGCACGGAAACACACCGGACATCTAATATACGTGTATCACTTTATAAACAAACAATAGATCACCATCGCATTCACAAATAGTCCAATACAACATCGATCTACAATTAGAGTCTAAATAGGTTCATAATATTCTGGCCTGAACCTGGACAACAACGACAAACCACGGGAAGAGAAGTCACCGATAAGTCATTTGAACTTGCGATGACACAGTTCAACAAGCACAGGTAATAGATATTGGGTAGAAAATGTTAATGAAGCATGAAGCTTACTGGCCTTATCAATGAGCTGGCTTTAGCATTGCCATGCAGTTCATAGATTCAGAACTGCAATCCAAGTAAATGAATGTATAATTTTTTCGGTGACAATATACCTAGCCTAGCAGCAGAAGTTTAATGAAAAATATACCCAAATATTTCCCAGTTAAAAAATATACATAAATTAACAATGCATAAATATTACATGTCAATATCTATATATACATATCATAATCCTATATGAACAGGTTAATTATGGTGTGCTTACTAAAAATGATTAAACACAATTCATTAAAATCTCTACAACAAGAGCCGCAGAGCGTCTGGGCTCATCTGAGGTCTGTTGTTACGGTAATAAACGTAACATTTCAGTCGTGCGTAGTGACACCTTTGTTAGGCGCAGATATGCAGATACGCAGTTGCGCATCTTTTTCAGCAAACATTTTTTTTATTGCAGAGAGAGAGAGCGAGAGAGAGGAGAGAGAGGGGAGCGAGAGAGAGAAAAAGAGAGAGAGAGAGAGAGAGAGAGAGAGAAAGCAAGTGAGAGGAGAGAGAGGGAGAGAGTCAGTCAGACTAAATTGTTTATAAACAAATAACACCCACGTGGCGCGCTACTGTATCAGTTATGTATCATCAAAATGTACATTCCGATTTCGCCGCGCGGCGTCCAAACTTTCGACGAAGATGGCGGGCAGAGGTAAGGCAGACGCACGTATAACGTACAGATTTCGTCAATGTCAGGGAGGATCAACACATTTCGACTGACAGTCAACCATCTGCAGCGTCCACAAGCCAGCATGCTCCACCATATCCCGACATTGCACACTATTGTAACGTCGACGGAGAGAGCCATGCCAAGGACAGTACAAAACTGGCAAATTTTGGTAGTTGGCCAACCTTTCATTGGTAGGTTTGACGATTCAATTCTGCAATTGCTTATCTCAAGATTGATTAAACTGAAGTTAAGAAAGTAATTCTTTCTGCACTTTTGAGCGCAATATACATTTGACCTATCCTGCCGGGACAGTCTTCTCACTCACTCACAAAGGAATGTTCTCCCTTCTTTTACACCTCTTGACCTTTGACCTTTGACCCTCACCTTTGACATCCCAACTCGTTTTCGGATTACCCCCCACGTCACGACTTTCGAATCCGTACGTTGAGCCGTTTAGATTTATGCCCAACTGGTGACGGACGCACGGCCGGACGAACAGCCGGACGAACGCACGCTCATGCGATTCTACAAGCTGCATCTGACTATGTCAGATGAGCTAAAAATTGATACCTCGTCAATGCAATCAATAGGACGACTATCATATTCTACACTGTTATGATATTCATAGGCAAAGATGTCAAACAAAGCCTAATAGTCCCATTTTACGCATTTTCTTTGTGCATTTATAGGGTTAAATGTGTCACACCACTATTGGAAAATAACACGCATGCGTGCACGCACGCACACACACACACACACACAGTTCAACTAATTATACATAGACACTGTGCCTTAAAACTTAGCTAAGGTAATTAAAAAATAACAACTATGTATTGATAAGCATAACAAATAATGCATGAGCATAAGGGCCAAATTGACTAAACAAGAGAAACATCTACATCCTGTATTGTACGCATATAACAATTTCCCGTCATATTCCTGCTATCACAGGGCATCGTATGAGTATCGTGTTCTGCTGACCTCTATATATATTTAAAGCAATATATCTACATATATCAACAATTACAGCCAGCAGTTATCGTACACAAGCTGAAGCAGGTAACACATTTTCTAAGGTGAGGTGTGGCAGCCAATAACTGGGCTTAACACAAGACTACTACTACAACCATTACTACTACTAATAATAATAACAACAATAACACTACAACCACTACGGCTATACCTCTCCCTCTACCTCTTCCCCTAGCACTATCACTACCACTACGGCTACCCCTCCCTCTGCCTCTACCCCTAGCGCTATCACTACTGCTACTGCTACGTACCACTCCCTCTACATCTACCCATAGCATTATCACTCACGCTACTGCTTCCCTCTACCTCTACCTCTAGGCCTAGCATTACCACTACGACTACCACTACGACTACCACAACTACTTCTACTACTACCTATACTACTACCATCACAACCATAAAGCCGTCAAACTTACAATCTGAAAATTTCAAGGTTGTGCACGTATATATATTTGCCCATTCACATTAGCAGCACATAAAAATGCTCGGATCGTGAACATTTAGAGGTTATTCCCAGGAAGTATAACTTTCTGGCCAATAATTATGAACAGCAATTATTATTTTTCAGTCCTCACCTCCCTCCAGAGATGGTACAGCTGTATTTCATCCATGATAATGAAGTGAGGTGCTCGCCATTTATACAAAACGTGCCTAGACATGCTTTTTGAAGAGGGATTTCATCAGGTACTATGAGATTCGTTTACTGTTCAAAATATTATATATATATATATATATATATATAGGTTTTACTGCGATTTGTTACAACTTATATGCAGGGGACTAAACCTTTAACTACTATAGGATAAACACAGAGGAAAAATTCCCGTAAAATTCAGTGAGGCCAACTTGACACACAGCTCACTCCTTACACGCTTCACAGAGCAATATAGTTAACAACTCTCGCCCAACACAACTTGTGCATTAACACGGTTAAAGGCAAACCACTTATATACACATCATCCTGATATTGTGATAAATAATGACAATATGTCTGGCATATTTGGTTAATAGAATGGATAATTCTCCACTGAGAATGCTCCCACAAGGATTTTTTGAATCTTCCCGATATACATACAACAGGACAGCCTCAAAACAGCCTCCTGGTTGCAATCTGCGAATAGCCGAAGACTAACACATCCAGTAACCAGAGCACTTGGAGAGCGCAGACCTCCGCCAAGGCAGCTGAATTCTCTCACTGTGAAAAATTTAATTAATTAAATAATTGATTGGATCCGGATCACCACCAAAATGTAATCAATTCCAAGATACCCCATTTCTGACCTATCCTGAAAATTCTATTAATTAATTAATGAATTGGATCCGGATCACCACCAAAATCTAATCAATTCTAAGTTAGCCCATTTGTGACCTATCCTGAAAATTTTATGACAATCCGTCCATAACTTTTTTAGTTAGGCTGTACACAAAGAACGGTGTTACAAACCCACAAACGAACAAACACACGCCGGTGAAAACATAACCTCCTGCCAACCCCTTGGCGGAGGTAATAAACGTTTTGCAGCCAACAACGATTAGACACTTAGATGCTTTTCCTAATTTTCTGTACTTGCAGTGCAAAATCTACGCGTTGATTAGCCACTGTCCTGATAATACTCGTCTCCGCCACTAGAGAGCTCTGACGTTCTCCTGTAGGTCGACATCGCTTGCCATCTGCGTCTAACGACTGTGAGGACAGCAGCTAGCGCCCCCAACAGAACCGCTGTTCCAACACAGGCGCCGACGAGCACCGGCATGTTGTCTGAAAAATGTCGTTAACAATCCCACTCTTAGCCACGACCGATTACATACGAGTAAACAGCAGGTGACAGCATTCCTTCATTGTCAATTGATGTTGCAGAAGTAGCATTGTCGATTTATTTTGTGATAAATTATTAAAGTGACCCTATAAATCGTCATCAAGCACAGATGTCTACTGCCTTGAGGCTCTTCCCAATTTCTATTATATGCGACTGCTCCTCATCATTTTGTTCACAACTCGATACACGTGCTTAATAATGGCCCTTTAAACCTTCGTCCATAACTAACGGAGTGTGAATGGGCAATAGGTACGACCTCACCTTTTTAGTACAATCTGCTGCGAGTGTGCAGTGAGGAAATGGGGCCTCGGCTTTCAAACACCTACTTAAGCATGGACAGTCTCTAACTGTGGCCTTTCTCACACGTACACAAGCAAGAGCAGGCAGTCCATAATGGTGGCCTTAAGCATGTTCATGTTTCTGCACCTGCAAATGATTAATAAGTAACAGTGGACTCACCCTTCTCACTGCCAAGACTAGTTGCCACAGACTGATCCTTTTCCACTTCCACCAGCGAATTATTATCCAAGTAACGTGATGCGTTTCCGGCACTCAGGTTGATATCACCTGCAATAGAGAGAACACACTGACATGGGCCCAGTTAATGTATGTACCTAATCCACACTGAGAAACACATGATCACACTTCCATGCATGTCGACCAACACAACACAAAGAACCTTGAAGTTCAGTCTCAAATACTGTCGATAATTAACTATATAATACACAGAATACAGGCAATGTAAGTTAGATATATGCTTGTTCATCACTATGTTTTTCTGGTGTTACGGTACACAAACCACAATGCATATCAAGCTGGACTGCAATAATGATATGCAATGTTTGCAGTGGTCTAGAAAGGTGTGTATGTTTAAAAGAAACATGACCACTATAAGTAAGATTCGTGAAACCAATAATGTATTAATAAGAAAAGCTGTCTTAATGAATTAAAACAAATTGATTAATCAATGCAAGATAGTAAACAAGGGGAGATGATGTGTGTGGATGTTAGAACAACATCAGAACAGTACTGATGTCAGAATGGCAGGATTGTGTGGGAGAGAAATGTAGTTGTGTTTAGTTTAAAAAATCCACACCACACCACACCATTTTCCATGACACTCACACACACGCACGCACATACGCACGTACGCACGCACGCACGCATGCACACACACACACACACACACACAAGTATCTCTCTGTATTACAGTAATAGCCATCGACGACCACAGATTAAAAACATGACCATACAAACAAGAAACGCTTGTTGAGCTGGGGACTAAACACACAGAGCCTCACCGTTAACTGCCTGGTCTCGCTGCTCTTTTCTCTTATCCACAGCATTGCCTTCTTCATCGCTTTCATCATCATGAACATTGTCATTATCGCTGCTGTCATCATCACTGCTGTCACTGTTACCATGGTTATCATCGCCGTTGCTGGAGTTATCCTGGCTGTCTTCATCATCGTTGGAGCCATTCTCCGAGTTGTTCGGTGTCTCCTGCTCCTCTGAAACATCATTGCCTGCTCCCTCCTCGTTTGGAGGAATATCTGACTGTGGACTAATCCCACTGTCTACGTATACTGCAGGCAGCATCCCTTCCTCCACTTCTGTGGGGCACTCGCCAATGGCAATGCGTACATCGTCTAGAATTGTGCCTTCATGTGACATCGGATTACCGAACAGCTGGTAGTTTGCCTGAACGATGACGGAGATGTAGATGACACCAGGTGTCTCCTGAAGTCTCAACGTGAGGGCGATGGTTGCCTTAATGCTCACGATCTCGATTTTTGCACCTTGAAGAAGTGAATGTAACCCTAGTTACGATGTACATAGAAGAAAGGTTGACCAACTGTGTTAACAATGTTTATGATCATGGATTCCGTTAACTGCTCAAAGATATTCATACTAGAGGTGCTTCGATAACAGCCCATTTAAAATAATAAAAATCTTCAATGCTTGCCATTCCCTTCGTACATATCCTTGTCAATTTATCGATTTCTTTATATAATTCACATTTTCACTTTCGACAAAACAAGAAGTAAATTCAACCAATCCATTTAAACGGAAGTGTTAACCTGAATTGAGTCTCAATAAATAGCATGTGTCTGAGCACCAAACAGTACACCAGTATTTTCAGCATTTTTTTAACATTATTAACTATATACCAGGTATTTGTGCAGTTTCTCCATCAGTAAAGTTGTGAGCAAAGTTGTCAACATTGGCTCCTTTAGCAGTTCCATATAATAAGACTTTCACTGGATCGCTACAGTGGTAGAGCACTATACCACTGCTGAAATTCTGTCCCTATAATCAGCAAACCTTTCTGTTACTGTCCATGTAATGTGTGATCAATAGCAATCACCATGCATGTGTCTCCATCTCACATGCAAAACAAGTTGCTACATCACAAAATGTCAAATTTGGTACTATAACTTAGTAGAATAATATTCAGGCTTAAATTTTTCAACCTATTGTGCTACATTCCTATACAAGAACTGTTCAATCTGACTTTATAGTCAGCTTGCCCCCATTTCCCCATCGTTTTTATTGTAGTCAACACTATTGTCATTTTGATGTAAAATTACAAAGTGTTCATAAATATTCTTTGCACTTGAACTTGAACTTGACTGCTAACCCTTTGACTGTCGATGGGGATTTTTGGTCCAAGCACTGCGATTGTTGTGCATACAGTATTACAGTGATACAATAAGAATATTGCGTTATGAGCACTTTACTTACCGAGCGTTCGCCTGAGCAGAACAATCCATTACAGCTTTGGTTTTCCACACATAGTGTGTCGTCTGCATCATCTTGTACAGAAAGCTGGGTAGCGAGATCATGCCATGATGTGCACTCATCAACGGTTGCTAAAGAACTGCCTGCAGGTCCTTCGAATTTAATGTTTACTTATCAACAGAATTGACAATACATCAATTTGTAAGAGTAGGTTCATTAGAAGACCATACCCAATACTATAAAGAGCTATAATGATACCTATTTTATTAGCTATTTTATGTGTTTTTAACACCTATTTTAAGGATACACTCAAGCTTTTGCATGGGTATTGCTCTAATGAAGTGTACACGTTTATTAACAATCGAATTGAATCAATCACACTTTTTATTTATAGATGAGATGTACCTCTAGATGCTCAAGATAAAAAATTCATGAAATTTCCAGCACTTAATTATGTGACAAGACAAATCTTGAAATTCCATGTAAACATGGTATTTGGGATATTTCTCAATTACCACAAAGAGTATAAAAGCAAAATTCTCACCACAAGTTAAACATCAGGATTTTTCTTTAACTTTCATATTTACCAAAATAAATAAATAATTGCCTAACATTTAGGTTGTAGGTTTGGATTGAAAATTTATGCAGATAAAGAACCATAACTCATAAAAAAGCACTTAATAACAAACCCTGATGTGCTTTGTTACAGCAATGTGTTACCATTAAAATGAGTCAACATTCAGAGTTGTAATGACAGAGAACTATCCATTTATACATCAGTTACTGCATGGCAGAAAAATCGAAATGGAGAAATCAGTATTTTTCTACTTTTCACAATGCCTGTGTGCAAAATGGGTGAACGGATGTGAAACATATACTGTCACTGTCAGTACATATCCATGATTAACTGAAACTACTAAATTGGTAAAACGTTCTCTGCACCTTGAGAAATTGTAAGAAATTACGAGGTATTATACATATATACATCGTAATTTCATGCAAAACACGCAAACGATGCGTAATGCACATGACATCACTAAGCTATGTGTCACCAAACCCGTACCTACATGTAACGCTGTGGCTATATGCCAGGCGGCCGGGCACGGTCTTCGATTTCCTAAATGCCCGGCAGTTCCTAACCCTGACCTTAACCCTTGTTTACTTGAGATAACGCTGAAAATTAAAAACTGCCAGGCATTTAGGAAATCGAAGACCGTGCCCGGCAGCCATCAGATATATGCCGGCTGCCGGGCATATGTAGCCACTCTGTACATGTAACGCTATGTAATGAGGTGCAAATGGTATTTTTGAACACGTGGCAATTTCAACTATCACTGGGAGATGGTAGCTGTGGAAGAGTTGATGCTGAATAATGCTGGCTTAGTGAATATCATGAAAATGCTGGTTGTATCATGTCTCTCATATACTCATATAAATATTCATTTGAAAGTGTACACATGGTTGCAGGAATGTTACATTACAACGTTGTGATACAACGTTGTGGCAACGTTCAGAGTAGTCTACAAAATAACGTTGCCACAACACTGTATCACAACGTTTTCACCACGTAAGAGAAACATTGTGACAACGTTGCCACAATGTTATATGGTTAGCTGGGCAGTGCATTTAAAGAGCCATATGGCTCACTACACAAGTATGTGCGCAATCAAAACGCTCTGAAAGTTCACATGCATTGTTATATGGAGAAATAATCATGTACAGAGGTGGCACCTAGTGAAGAATAAGAATGAAAATGAAAAATCAAAAAAATTTCGCATAAAATCTCGAGTGTATCCTTAAAGTTACACTAAGTTAAACATGTAATTTTATTATTGTATTTGTATGTTATGAATATGATGTAACTTTAAAATTGGATTATTATAGGGGCCTAGTATATTATTATTGTATGACCACATGTTTAGATCCGGTTGTACTACTAGTAGAAGTAACATTCATGGATCGGCATTGCCATAACTAGAAATGCGGGACGACGGAAGCTTATTTAGGCGCAAGTCCACTTTAGGCACCTTAGGTATCACGAAGTGATGCACAGATTTCTGTGTATCATCAACTGATGCACAGACTTTCCGTATATCAAGGAATGATATCACGGTAGTGATCTCAGGTATCTTAGGTATCACGAAGTGTGTTAGGGTTAGGGTTAGGTTTTTTGCATCATTCCTTGATATACGGAAAGTCTGTGCATCAGTTGATGATACACAGAAATCTGTGCATCACTTCGTGATACTTAAGGTGCCTAATGTGGATTTGCACCACTTATTTGAACCGATGTTTGACGTTGTCATTGGCATAAGACTGAGTGTGCATGTGTGAGATTATCATATCTCTATTATTCACTCCTGGAGTCCTAATAGTAATATTATTACAGTAATTGCTGTCAGTATACTGAGCTACAGTCTGAGCTAGCCCGACCAGGCTGTGTGACCAGGGGTGTGTGTAGCTACAGGGGGCCTGGGGGGGGGAGCACGTGCCCCTCCACAAATTTTCTGTGCCCCCCAGGTGCCCACCCCCCTGAAAATTCATGCTTGATAAAAAAAAAATTGAATTAAAAACAATGCCGTTAGAACAGTATAATACAAAGAAAACTTATATATTGTGCCCCCCCTTCCCAGTGCCCCCCCCCTCCCCGCTGAAAAAATCCTAGCTACGCCACTGTGTCAGTGTTAACCCGACCAGGCTGTGTGACTAACGTCAATAGTCAATAGGTATTCTAACCCTAGCAATACCGTTTCTTGGAGCTATGTCAGTGTGTGTGACTAACGTCAATATACACAAGTCTTCTATTCTTCTATCAAAGACCGTTTCTTTGAGCTACAGCCCGAGCTAAACTCTACGAGTGCTAGTGTTACGAGTACGATGCTCACCTTCTGCAGTCGTGACAGCTAGGAACAGAAACAATATACCAAATTCCACAGACATGTCCGATCAAGAACTATAATATGTTTCACTGCTACCTACTGACTAGTCTATGGGAAACTACACTTTTCTTCTCTCGTGATCAGTTATTGCCAACATCTGTCGACATTGGGAGATCGACCACGGGATGAAATGATTCAGCCAAGCTACAAATAAAACAATATTCGTTGTGCAAACTCCACGACAGAGGGCGCTCTCGCACTGGCTCAATTCAGGCAGATTCAGGGCAGCCGGCTGAAAGGGGTGGTAGGATATGTTTGTGTACTAGGCACTTCTAATTTTAACATATATTTTAAATTTAATTAGGGTCAGGGTTAGGGTTAGGGTTAGGGT